GTACAATCACCGCTTGTCACTCCGTTTTTGCTCTTGAAGCGCGAGAAACAGAGCCCTTGCAGAAATCACGCAGGACGCATGTCCGCCACAATTCGCCTGGCGCCTGCTGCTGCAGTTGGATTGACTGACTGCTGCAGATAGGCTGACTGCTGGACGCTGTGGAAATAAACGAAGCTGGGAAACGACCGACCTGCGAGCAAATGGTCGGAATCTCTGACACAAGAAGGTGTCAGGTTGAGCTGAACCTATAACTCTGCTTTCTGGCACCGAAGCAGCCCACAACCCGAAAACAAAGTGCCAGTCACAAACATCCACGTGGAACCAACAACAACGTTGTGTTCCACAAACACTCAAATTCAAACCCTTTACAATACTGCGCTCTCTCTCGCGGACCGGACCGAAGCCCTAGTCTAGCGGTCCCGACCCACTTACCCCTCGAAGGGACCGCAGTCCGTGATGTGGTGCGTTATCGGCTTCCCTTGGAACGTCACTCGCACATAGGCGTCCTCTTCCTCCTTGCCCCCCTCCACCCCTGCATCAGAAGCGCCCTCTTGGGCGTCACCAGAGAGTAGGATGCGTTCCTGGGACGGGCTGTTGGGGCTACCGGCACCCGATTCTGCGGAGCCCCCGCCTTGTTCAGCCGCGCCATCTCCCCCAGCAGGAGCGTCGTTCCCTTCCTCCGCCAGTGCCCTCCTCGAAGTGGCATCCTCGCCGCCGCTACCGTTTTCTCCGCCCCCCAGGAGACCTCTTTTTGGCGGGTCCTTGTCTCCTTGCCCCGCTGGGGGTTTCGACCAGAGCTCGAAGGCTACGTGAGACGCGTAAGGCGGCCAGCGGCAGTCGTAGGCCCCGAACGCTGCCAGGAGGGGGGCCACCACGGTGTCGTGTCCCGAAAACAAGGCGAACTTTGTGGGGCTATCGCCGCTCAGCGCTCGCTGTGGTGTTGACCGAAGCAGGAACGCCAAGAAATAACAGGAAGAAGGGTGTGCGTAGGAGTCAATATGTATGCATGCATGAGCAGGGAGGGTGTGCGGTGCCAAGCATTAGACGCCTTCGCCTTGCCAAAAAGTAAACACTCAACACTCAATTCACGGCACCAGGACTACCCACTCACTCACTCGCTCACTCACTCAGGACGTGACTTAAAATGGTCAAGTCCTTACAGCGACGATTCACCTATGCCTGCCAAACGCAACGTAGTTACGTACCCATGTTCACGCAAGGTTTTCGTTGATTCAGTCGTTGCAAAACCACACAGACAGATCAAGAACAGTTCTCCGTTGTCGACCTACATGAGTGACGAAGAAACTTCGCTCCTAGTAGTACGTCCGTTTGGTTGCGCAATTGCCACATCCCACACGGTTGCGGCAAGGAAGTTCGCGCCACACCGCAGCAGCCTCACCACTTCTAGCCCTACATACTCGTCACTCTCGACGGTGGAGCTGCTAGGCACCTCGGCCAACTACAGTAGCGCTACCTTGGACTATTTGGTTCGGTTACAGCACCCAGAAGAACTTCAGCCTCTGGATGAGAAGAATCAGCGGGGTAAAAAACGCTACTCGACGAACAACTATAACAGCTACAATGGGTTGCACGTGTCATGGTTTTCTGAGTCCGTTTCGTTCTGCTTTAGTTCGGGATCAGTTCAACCGGTGCCGATGTACTGAGAAGAGACCGGCACGTTTTTTCAATGTCAAGACAGAAACCAACAACAACGACACCAAAAGACCCTGAAGAAAGTGCACCGCACTTCCTAGCAAGGTTTCTTGCCGATAATGCCTTACAACTGGATGCACGCTTCCCCATCGCCTGCAAACTCACGAAATCAAGCCTTGCATCTCAACACCTCAACACGACGTCTTGATTCCGACTAGATATAACCCACGTGTTTGTTCTCTCAGTTCTCACCCTCATGTTGGTGAGAATCTCTGTCGTGAAGGGGTACAGGGACAACGCGGCG